GCAAATGTGATTCATTGTTTAACATCTTTAAAGTAACATAAATTTATTTAAAAGTCCTTACAGAAACTTGAGAAAAAATGAAAAAAAAATTCAAACAAAATGTCTCAAATGATGAAATGGTCTTCCTCACTTGGATGCCCCCAAGTTGTTGAAGTCGATCCGATTCTTGTTACGTATTTTATGTATGATTCTCTTGATTGTGGAGTAATTCTCAATAGTGCGCCCTGGGACTCCGCTATGATTTTCGCAATGAGCGTTCTCATCATACTACCTGGGGTACGGGGCTTCATGGATTTATCTGGATATGGTGACACCACGTGTGCGTCAAAAAACTGTTGGTAAAGCTCCTTATATGTCATAGGATCAAAATGTTCTCATTTTTTATGAGATATGTGAATGTAAAAAAAAAGAAAAAATAATGCGAATGTAAAGAAAAGTAACAAAATGCACAATATGTCTGAATGCATGATGCATGAAATGTTCGAGGCATTGATCCAAAAAATGTACCTGTTATTATAAATAATCCTTATTGGGGCAAAAATGTTACGTCTTAAGAGACAAAAATATTTTGAAGGCATAGACCCCGAACAGCTTCTGATAGGTTGACTAGTCTTCTGCCTTCGTCTATCACCGGTTGAATAACTATATGGATGAACCGTGCAAATGTTGAGTTATTTTTTGTACTGGCCCAAGAAGTCCTAAATGACTGCATCTCTGGCATTTATCTTTTGTCGAACCTGTTCCCAACGAATATGTCATTGGATTCCTCAATTGATAGGAACTATGTGAAGTTCATTTGTTTGTTTCTTGAATTCGTCAGCAATGGTCTCCAATTTCAGCTATCGTTTTGCCATCTTGTTCTCGTAGTTTTCGAAAGGACTCTCCGGGTCAGTAACCATTTCCTCGTCTTGCCCCTGCAACATTTGCCTCTGAGTATTCTTTGATCACGGTTGGACTTCTGAGCTTTTTATCTCTTTGTATTATAACCCCTTTGTCCATTAATACAGATTATTTACGTTTAACAAACACATTTTTGGTGGATCAACACCTCGTTTTAAGGATGCGAATGATAAAAAATGCCAAAGAAAAAATGAAAGGAGGAAAAAAAGTTAGTGAGATAAGGATAATAATAAAAAAATGATAAAAATGAAAAGTTCTACCCCACATGATATCTACCCCACATGCTTATTATTCTTACCCGGACATGATCTCTATCCTGCATGCTAATTTCAAACAAATCCTAACCGCATATTTATCTAGTTCGCATGCTTTGAACAGAAAGTAAAGTAAGAAATAAAAGCAGCATAGGGTTTGGAATGAGGTTTTGGGGTGGGCTCTAATTCCATGTACTCTCCCGATTTAGGTTCTAAAAAGGTACTCGAGTTCTCCTTGCTGGTGCCCCATTGGGCTTGCCAGAACCTTAGTCCTAAACCCATCACAGGCTTGTGTGGACTAAGTTAAACTCAAGAGGACACATTCCCTTATGCCCGCACGGTGAATAAATTCACACGAAGACATAAGGTATATGAATCCCGAAGGCTACTTGCTAGGCATATGCAGTGAATAAATTCACACGAATGTGTCGCTTTCACCCCCACTTAAAACGGGTTCGGAGCTCGGGTTTAGAGCTTAGAGATGACAATTTTGAAAAAATCTGAAATCATTAACAACGTCAGTACAACTATTTATTTGAAAAATAATCAAAGATAAATAATTAGAATCGAATAAATAAATTTAAATTTACCGTTTTCGCATAAAAGACAACCGAAAATTAATTTCGGCCTGACTCACTTACCAGTCCCCAGCGGAGTCGCCAAGCTGTCTCAACCGTCTTTCGGTTGGACCCAAAATTGGGCATCGACTTGGATTAAATGGATTGAAGTCGCCACCGATCATTTTAAAGCGATATTAGGTAGATCGGACACCATCTTACCTGATCTGCGTTGTACCAAAAACGTGTCGGGTTCGGGAGTCGGTTACAGTCAAGGAAGGATTAGCACCCTTGAACCGCCCTTTGGGTACCAATTAATTTATCGGTTGCCTTTAATTGCGAAAATTAGAATTTAAGTTAAAATTTAAATTATTCGATTCGAATCACTCACATTTGATTGACTAGAATTGTCCTAAAAATATCAAATTACTGTTAAATAATAGAATAAAGTAAAATAAGATGAGAAAAAATATTAAATAAAAAATATTGAAGAGATTAATGATTAAATTAAAGTTAATTGAAGGCTGTCAAGAGAAAAAATCAAAGTTAGGGTACCAATTTAAAGCAAACAAAGATGTTTTTTAATTAATTGAACACTGCACATTCAAACAATTAAATAGCATTGGTCTACTGCCATTATTGAAATGTTTACAAGCTGAACTCAGTTTATTCAAAAAAGATGCCAAATGGAAGGCAATATAAAACCCACAGTGGAGATTCAGGTTCAAAAGTTGGCATATGAAGATCCAACGTGCAGTTGAAAACTCACTCCATCATGTATCACATCATAAATATCCTTAAGAGTTGAACTAAAGCTAGAGTTATCATAAATATCCTTAGAGTTGAACTAAAGCTAGAGTTATTGGCTGTAACAAACACCATTCCCAGTGTTAAATCCGAAGCATGACAAAACCACCAAAAACTGAAATACATATAAATAGCAAGCTGAAATTCTTGGGAAGAAATAGCAGAAAATGGTAGTAAATTGAGAGGCAGATACCATCATTCCTAACCAGGAGGCCATCATATATTCTACAACTGGAACGGGAGTCACGAACCTGAGGATAATCTTTTAACTTAGAAACAACAAATGATCTACCAATTGATCTGCAAAGAAGGAAAGTCGTTCCTGCACCAAAAGTTAGACCAATGGAATCCTCTAAGGTTTGAAAACTTCAAATAACAGGGGTTTGAACTCCAGGTGCTCGAAGAAAATCCTCGGTGCCGTTTGCGTCCTCGTCAGCCCCAGCAGCCCCACGCGAGCACCAAACTGTACAACTCTCTTGCATTATCGGTTACAAAAGCAGCAGCTCCCAGAAAGTCTCAACAGCCCCGGACTTGATGGATCACTCTTGATATGTTGTTGTGCCATCCATGCACGACCTCGGGTTGCCATACATTCAAAGATACCGAGGCATTAGCGGGATTCATGGAAGGTCCGGTGTAACCAGTACCGGGCACGATTATCGCCACGATTGAAATGGAGAGCAACCATGTCTTGAATATTGCACTCTGTGAACCTTCAAGAATGATAAAAAGAACAGCAAAGGTAATTACAAAAATCAAAAGGCCCTCGGCAATGGCTCCGGTGTGTATCTACTTTCAGAGATGGTTCTACTTTCGTCTTTTTCGAATCAGAGGTTGCATCTACATCAGAATGTGAAGAAGATAACCAAGCTTTTGTGTCGTGGAATACTAGATTGGTTCTCAATGTCACTCCCTCAAACAATAGCCGATTTCGCGGTGACAGCGAAAGTCTCCTCCCGGTGGTCGCAGACACGCCCTGTTTCAAAGCCTCGCACCAACATAACCTCCTCTACATGCTTCAACTATAGTGAGAATGTAGGTATTCGTTTGTAGAAATATATATACGTAAGTGTTAGAAATTGAATATAGGATGAAATGAGGACTTGGTGGTATGAGGAACATGACCCACACCCATTTGATGAAGCCGAGAACTGGTTTACAAAGGGTGATGAAACCTAGTGAACTGATGACGAAGGTCACCATGAAATCAGGGGTCTGGCTTTCCATTTGATGCTGGAAAGTGGAAAGTGGGAACCATGGAAGGAAGAGAAAGAAGGCAAAGAGCAAGAACCCCTGCCTCCTGTGTATTTTATCACTTTCTCCCTTTTAAAAAATCATTTCCCCCCCTTTCATAAGGTCATTGGATCACCTTTTTATATCATGACTTCCACTTTACTACCGAAAATTTTGGAAAAAAATCATGGAGAGCAACCAACTACTTCTCCTTTGATTTCGGCGGTGGATTCTTCCCCCACTAACAGAAAATGGCCTTCTCTCCCATAACTACCTGCCTTGCTGGCCTCTTTATGTGGCTAAAAAATCTGATTTTGTTTTCTCTGTTGTTGGCACCTTCGAAACAACTGAGCAGGTGAGACAGATGGCAAGCATAGGCTTATGCGGTTACACGTACGAATCTGAGCGGTTCGGGCTGGGCATCGTAAAACAAAATTAATAGTATTAATAATAATATAATAATAATATTATTATTAATAATAATCTATTATATATAAAAATTCCAAAAAAAATTATATTATATTACTATATATATATATATATATATGGAAAAAAACATATCCGAACGAAAATAAGTGTCTACAGATTGATTGAAAAAAAGTTTAAGCATTTAAATGGAAAAAGGAAAGCATAGTTTGTACATTTTTTTTATATTAAACCAATAAAAAATCACCTGATTCAAGGTTTTAAAACAATTTAAATTACAATTAAAAGAAAATATATTTTAAATTGGTATTTAAATTATTTTATTTTTAAAAAAAATATGTCAATATTACATTTGTACCTATATATATTGATTAATATATATAAGTATAAAAGTCAACTGAATCACAATTTAAACTATTTTAATTTATTTAATTTTTTATATTGAATGCCTCATATTATTAATTTTAAAAAACACACATTTGCTTATGAAATTAAATATTGTTTACATATATACACGCATAATTAAATAATATTTTTATCTATGATTGTTTAATTTAATTTTATTGAGTCTTATAAATTAAATAATGAAGTGACTGCAATATTGATAGAATTAAATTTATTTATTAAAAAATATTAAAATATTATAAAACTATGAATAAATGAGTTTTAGAAATTCTCATTATACGGTCTTAGATTTTTAACACTATTTTTCAGTATTCTCCACATCCGATACCCTAATTCAACTTGTAATCTCAAAAACAATCAAAATCTGAATTGTTTTCTGTTCTTTTTTTTTAAATATTGAATTCTTTTTTTTACTTGTACTGTATTTATAACTCTCTTTTTTTTTGAGAAAAAGAAAGAAAAGATTGAGTATGAAAGAAGCGAAACCAGGTAAATTGAATGTACATCAACAACACGAAAACGGTCACTTCTCTCCGTTCAAGTTCGCCAAGTTATTAGATCCAGAAGCTTCTTGGGACAAGGTTAATCTTCTGCTTTTCTTTTTCATTCGTTAGTTTTGCTGACTTTATTTGAAAGTTTTACTAATAATTAGAGCCAGATACTCTAATAGTTAACTGTAATTGTAGTCATTTGTACTTTAATTGTGCTCTTAATTGATCTTATTCTGTTCTGGAAAAAGTTTAGTTTAACGGGTTTCTTTTTTCCTGTTAAACAAGGGGGTTTAATTGGATTATCGTGAATGAACTTGATTTGAGTAAGTTTTTGAAAAATAAAATTATGAGTTTTGGTTGATTGTTGGAACAGGATCAATTAGGAGATATATTGCATTGGATTCGACAGGTTGTAGCTCTTTTCTGTGGTTTATTATGGGGAGCAATCCCAGTGGCTGGAGGCATTTGGATCTTCATGTAAGTTCTCAGATTCATGTTGCACGCATTACATTAGTAAATTGCAATGCTTTAGATTTGTATCAGATTGTTGAATCTGTCCCAAGTTTTGTGGATCTTCTCACTAGTTATGTAGATGCCATACTGTGATGGGAGGTATGCACTTGGTAATTGGTATGACTGCATGTATCAGGAGCCTTGTGTATTGGGCTTTTGGAATTTTCTCTAGTGTAGTTCGCCGGAACTATGCTCTTGATTTCAGGTGATTAGAGGTTGACAAAATCTTAGATTGGCTGTGGATGAATCATTAATAATTCTTAGCTATTGAGTCGGGTGTAAATAAGGTTTTGAACATTCTCTTAAGTCTTAAGCTATCAGGCTGACAAGGACAAATTGCATCGCAAAAACTATACCAAAGTGTGTTCTAGTAGATAACTGGAACAGCTAATCTCTATGGTGGCACAATGTGCTAAATGGATCTCCCCTTTCACCATTGGAGTTTCATTATTAACCTCTTCTTGCTTTACTTGGTGCAGCATTCATGTCGTACCATTGGTTTCTATGTATATAACAATTTTGAATGCAATATCTGCCATTGGTGTTTTGAAATTGATAAGTTAAATATATGGTGTTTCCACTTGCATTTGTTGAGCATGAATTTTGCTATTTGTATGGGACCATCTCATTTATGTGAAATTTTGAAAGGAATATGGTGTTTTCTTCATGTGCCAACGAGCTTTAAACTACCATGCCACTTTTCAGCTTTCTGTGTGTCATGTCAACGGGTCTATGCCTGCCAACTTCAATTATCTTGAATGTCTTGATATCTACTTAGTGTTTGTTCAATAAGCGAGTAATAGGCATTGGTTTTGTCCTGCCTTTTTAGTATGTCATTATTCTTTGCTGATATTTTAGTTAATTATTTGTTGTTATTTGCTTGCAGTTTTCTGGCCATATCCACTGGCATTATATATGGTTATTATGCAATGATACTGAAGATTGATGAGGAAGAATTTGGGGGTCATGCAGCTCTTCTACAAGAAGGGCTTTTTGCTTCAATAACTGTCTTTCTGGTACGTCTTTTCCTTATATTTTTCATGTTCAAATGCTAGCATTGCATAACATTCCTAGAAGGAGCTTACCTATGTTTATAGCTAATTAAACCCTATTTTCCTATTCAGTTGGCATGGATTCTCGTATACAGCTTGGCCCACTTCTGATATGAATTTTATCATCAATTTGGTTGCCCTCTGTTTGTAAGTCACATTTCTAGGATTCAACTCTTTAGATGAGGAATAGTTCATTATTTCCAAAAACAATTTAGAAACTTTCTTACTTGATAAATGCCTGTAGTTCCTTTCACTTTTCATTGTGCGACACTCCAATTTTGCAGACCATGAAGCTTTTTTTAATCATGTTATGTACTTTTTTTTTATAGAAGTTGGAGGCCTCATTAAAAACTCCCTTCGTATTCGTCCACTTACTAAGAAGTATGTTAACGAACATTGGAAGAAAGAAAAGAGTACCTCATAGTATATTAATAATGGTATCGAATACATATGGAAACACGGAATATTCTCGAATGGAGAAGTACACCATTACAACAAACCAGAAATACCTAAAACTCTCACTTCCTCAACCAGAAAATCCCATCGACAATCATCCTTTTTCTAATTTACACCTCCAGCAAAAAGAACAAAACAACGAAAAAAAAACAAAACACAAAAGAAAACCAACACCTGCAACCATTAAACTAAATCAAAGCCCCAATTGAAGAAACGAGATCTAATGAGTATCGACTTCGTCAGGGACCCAAGAATTTGGTTTGAAGGAAGGCCCAATTTCATGCACCATGATTTTGAATGAGTTAGCACCGACCTTCAACTCCAACGACTCGTCAATTCTCAAATTTGCCTTTGTGAGGATATGAATTTTCGCCCGATCAAAAGATGATGGTGATTGACAGCTTTCGTTGATTGCTAATAAATTACCACACTTGTCTGCAATGTTTTTGAAAGTATCTCAATTCTAAGCGTGAAAATGAACTCATTCGCAAACTAACCACACTCGACGACATTCCATCACCAGACTTTCTGACCAAGCTTTAACTCTGGAGAACCACTTAGCGAGAGTCTGTGATTAATCATTCTTCAAACTTCTCAATGAAGAAGAGTCTTCAAAAATCATAAGTACTGCATTTCCAGCGGCTCTCATTAATGAGAAACCAGTGAGTCCATTGTCTTGCATTTGACTAGCGAGATTACCGATTTTGATAAAGTCCTTGCACCAACCCACTAGACATTTACTCAACACGTGAAGTTTATTCTCGTCCATAACACCTTCAACTTCACTATGATTATTTCTTGAAACAACTTCCATCCTCGATTTGTGGTGAATAGTTGTAGAGGTCTTTCTCCAAAAAGAATGTCGAGGTTTGAATTTAGCCAAAAAAACACTAATTTTTCTTCCGTCAATATAGGAGTCGTTCATTTCTGAGATTGCTTTCCTTGCTTCTTCGATTTTTGCAAAACGGATGAACCCAAAACGAACCCTTTTCAATTTCTTTTGTTAGGAATGAAAGCATCAATAACCGGACCGTGGGTGCAAAAAAAAAGATCCAAACCTCTTCCAATGGAACTTCTCTGGTAAATTTTCGATAAATAACGTGTAGCAACCACTTCTGTACCCATTACGGATTTTCTGTTGGTCTTCCTTCCACCAATTGTGAAACTCGATTCTCCTCCTTGCATCTTCAGATGACTTTTCATCAGAATACCCCTTCATATGCATTTCCCCACTTGATCTCGACTTAACCTTACCCCTTCTATCTCCATCGCTCAACGACTACTTCCGATTACCACCATTAACAATTTCCTTCTCAACAGGTGTATCCTGCCATTCACGACCCTCTGCGAGTTTTTGGAGACGTTCACGATTTTCCAACTGTGATTGGATAACTCGTAGTCGCCTCTTAGCCTTCATCTTTGAGCCAGAACTCTCGGGCAAAACCATAAACCGAAGTCTGGCCTCTCCGTTGGCAAAACCTAAAGGTGAGAAGGCCTTGTTTAACCTCGGAACCAACCTACCTCGGATCTGAGACGATCCAACGGCTACCGAAGGAGAAAACATTATAAGCTGAACTGATGTCGTCTGATTTAAGGAGAAGGATTCAAATGGTATATTTTCCTTCTTTTTTCGATGCCGGCGAGCGACGGTCGGAGACTATTGACGGTGACTGTCGCGGCAGCGAAGTGGTGGTCGATCACTGGGTTATGAAAAGAGTGACGCCGGAGAGAGTGTATGAGGTTTTCAAAGAAAGAAATTTTTGAAATCGCCTGGAATCTAGTGAGAAGCAGGAGCTTCTCTCACTAGAAGTCAAAAAAGGCGTCCCGACAAAAGGCAGTTAAAGAGGAGAGTTTTACTTTAATAAATAGCCCCCAGAATGTGCACTGTTGTTTTCTTGCTTCAAATTATCCGTTGTTGATTAACTGATTAACTCTGATAACACATGAAAATTAGGCAAATTTCAATAATGTTCGAATTGCCCTAGATTTTGTCATTTTTTAATCAGAATTTAGTGTTCTTCCCATTTTCGCTACAAACCCAACGTTGCCCGAAGATTATTATTCTTATTTTCGTTGTTTCTTAAGAATGTTTGCATGAATCAATTGAGCTAAACTCAGAATTCACTGATTTTACCTTTTATAAGTTCCTCTCGGTCACCTTCACATGCCCTTCCCATCTCATTGAACAAGTTTAGTGATATGTGAATTTTCAAAACTCTAATCAATGAAAGGAAAAAAAAGACTTATTGAAGTCCATGGATTACAATAATCTCCGATTAAGCATATAAACTAATTTGTTAATACTGCTATTTACAATACTTGAAACAAAATTACTCTTATGTCTTCTCCTAGTTTCATTTGCTAATACTTTTTCCTACTCGACATTTTGACATTCACCCTTTACAAAAATGGATCAAAGTCAGAGAACATGTTTACCGATTTTTCTGGAGAAGTAAATATCCCATTCATGGGACCCAAGCTTCCCACATACAAAATACTTCCAAGACTCTTCTTCATCAAATTCATAATTCACTATTCTCCCTTCGTTCATTTGGTTCCTCACTTTCTCAATTCTGTCAAGAACACCCTTAACTGTTAGATCAAATGCATCTTCAGTTTTCCTCAATCTTGATGATGGATCTGCATATATCACCGATGAAATCATGCTTATGACTTCATCCCTCATGGATGCTCTTCTTTCTCTAGAAATTCTTTGCAATATTCTTTCGATGTTGGATTTCCCGGACTTCACATCTCTTTCCGGTATAAATACCGAGTATTTCCTGTAATCCTTTGGGAAATGCCATATATATTGAACGTAAGCTGAACCTGGATGGAAGAAAACTGGGATACAACCAGCTACGATTGAATCAAATATCGATCTCCTAGTGTAGGAATCCCCTGAAGGTTGTAAACAGAAGATGGAACTTTGAAATAATTTCAGCACGTAAGCTGGATTGTGGCACTTCTGTGTCTTATCGCATTCGAGGAACCTGCATCTCCTTCTCGTAGCAAGACATTGATCAATGAGTTCGTTGCGGATAGATTCATGGCGACCAGGCCTTCGTGCACCTGCGAAAGAGAACAAGAACCGCCTTTTCAGTCTTCTCATCCTGTTCTGCCATTGAAACACTTCACTGTCTGTTGAAGGATGAAAGTACGTTGGATATGGTATCGCAAAGTCATTGTAGTTCCATGGACTTGACTCGAGTACCAACGTCGTTGTGTTCCTCGCTTCATCTAAATTCAGAAGCTCATTGCCCCAATCAGACTCGTTTTTGGGGTTTCTCCTGAAATCCCAGTTAATCCTTCCTGCAACCAGGAAATGATCTCTACCCCACATTCTTTTCCATTCAGGTCTAGATGCAAGCCACTTGACAACATTAACTGCATCATAGTCTCTCATAAACCCGTCAGGATCCCAAAGGTAACGACCGACATCAAGGCCAGCATAATACGGAACATAGATAGCTGAAGCAACCGATGGATCTTTAGTTAAGCACCTGTACTGCTTCATCCTGTTGTGAAAAATGACTTCTAAAAAAAACTGGTTTGTATTAAACCAGCCTGTTCTTGAATAGAGCTTGTCATCAGGAGGAAGAGGGGCACCTAGGCCTAGATTTGATGCACATTCACACATATCCGTCCAGAAACTAAGTGACCGGCAGGTTTCGAGTAAATCTTGGTTAAATTTCCTAGGAAGATTATGAATGTATATATACCGTCCTGAACATGGATCTAATCTAGCTCGTGCTCTTCTCGGCACCACAACAGCTTTCTCAATCCTTTTCTCCTTGACAGGATCAGATGAATCCACAGGTTTATTCCTGGTTTCTCTCCTTGAATGCCTTGTTCTCTCGATTTGACTCTTAACAATCGGTAATGTTACAACAGGTTGTTCTTCAGGATTATCTTCCTTTTGTCGTTCTGAAACATTTGCAGTCTTTTTTTGTTTTGCCTTGTTTCTTTTCCCTTGATCCTCAGCATTGTCTTCTTTTCGTTGTTCCGAGACACTTGCAGTCCCTTTTTGTTTTGCCTCGTTTCTTTTCCCTTGATCCTCAGCATTGTCTTCTTTTTGTCGTTCCGAAACACTATTGCAGTCCTTTTTTGTTTTGCCCTATTTCTTTTCCCTTGATCCTCAGCATTGTCTTCTTTTCGTTGTTCCGAAACATTTGCAGTGTCTTTTTGTTTTGCCTCGTTTCTTTTCCCTTGATCCTCAGCATTGTCCTCCCTTTGCCTTCCCAAAACAGTTGTCCCTTTTCCTTTAGCTGCTTGATGTTCAACATACTCTCCTCTCTGTCGTTCTAAATTATTTGCAGTCTCTTTACGTTTGGCCGCACAATCATCCGTTCTTTCCTCTTGATCCTCGGCATTGTCTTCCCTTTTTCATTCTGCAACATTTTCCGTCCCTTTCTTTTGTTCGGTCACATGATTTTCCTTTCCTTTGTCTTTCACAGTTTTATCATCTTCATCCTTGTTTTTAACCTCTTTATCGCTTGCCACATCTCTGTTTTCATTGCCGGAATTCGTCTCGGTCTCAACAGGTTCAGTTTCATTTTGATCTTCAACCAACGACTGAATCACTTGGTAAATTTCCTCATTCTCGGACAACTTGTCAACAGGTTTTTCCTCTGTATCATTTCCATCTTCAACATCATCTACAATATTAATATCTCCAGCACGAGAAGAATATTCAGTTTCGTCATCTCTAACAACATCGAGAAAAGACTCGGATGAATCAAAAAGAGCCGTATCATTGTTGAGTGTTAAACTATATTCCATCTTGCTAAATGTTACGGAAGAAGAATACAAATAAATCATGTAGAGCGTGAACCATAAAATGAAAGAGATGAAAACAATGTACCAGGATTGGGTTCTGCATCGACATTTTCCACTCGGTTTCTCCATTAACGTTTCACTGCTCATACTAATAATATGATTAATGCAAAATTTTATTTTATTCATACATGTTTGGATGCGTGTGTATATATATAGAGAAATAAACGAGATTACATTAACAGAATGGGAAAATAGGCAGAAAAGGGTGAAATAATCTGGAAAGTCATCAAAGGGATTTGCTTGGAAAGCAATCAAGGAATTTTGATGCTTTGGGAAAATGAGAGAAAATGGAGAAGGTTTGAACAGTTCAAGATTTCTATATATATATATATATGCTTTTGCCAGGAAATATGAAAATTAGTTAGCTCTATTCTCAGTGTGAAATATCAAAGGGATCAGCTTCAAGGAAAGAAAATTTGAGGGCTGATCTGATACTGTTGGATCAAAAGATTTCCGATTGAGACCATTAATATTATTGGATCATTGATCAAATCTTATATGAATAATGAGATTTTCATAATCAGTAGCCACTGGTTGTGGTGATCAATATAAATATATGGTCAACTTTTATGGTTAGTGCCCATTCTTTGATTGAAGTCCTCAACACAAAGAAGATGAACAACTAAAAAAAAGGGGACAAAAAGAGAATTTTGTATCTTTAAATCAAATAACAAAACAAAATATATTTTCATTTGTTTAAAATTAAAATAATAAAAAATGAATGTTAACTCTTTTTAATAAATGATAACTAAATTTTAAAGTAGTATACTTTTTATAACTAAATTTAATAACTTATTATATACACTTTTTAAGGACCAATTTAAGAATTTAATTTATATAAATATATACCCATAATAAATTAGTCTAATGAGATGAGATACTAGACTCTTTAATAAGGTTAGGGGTTCAAATTATGACGTTTGTAAATGGAGCAAATTGGATTGGGAGAGTCGCTATCACCTCTGCAACACCTTATTCGGATTAATAGATTAATAAATTAGATATCAGTGATTATATCAAATATATATATTATTTTAAAAAAGTAAACTATAAGTTTAATACCTAAACTTTCATATTTTCAAAATTATACATAACGTTTACTTTTTTATTTCATTTTAATAGCCCATTGTTAACTTTTTGTTTTATTTTAGTACCTTAATTTTTAACAGCGAGGTACTAAAATAAAACAAAAAGTAAACACTAAATATAATTTTTAAACAAATAAAAGTTTATATACTAAAATATAACAAAAATAATAATTTAAGTACTAAACGTATATTTTGTCCTTCTCTGTTTTGCAGAAGTTATGGATTTAGTATATTATTTTAATTTGATCAATTTATGTTTGTGTATTTTTTTAAAGGCTTAATTATAAAAAACATGTTTAATTAATAATATTATACAAAATATCATTTTAAGTATCTCGATCGTAATAAACATTAAGAACGTCTGTTAAGTGACATGTATTACGTTTATATCTTTTTAAAAAAATATTTTTAAATATATTTTTTATTAAAAAAAACTGGTAATATTTTAATCCCCTCGGTCCCCTTCCAAGCCCCTTCCCCTTCCCCCTTTCCCTCCCAGTATGGTGCATTTGTTGCTGTTGAAATCATCCCATGGAGTAAAAGTAATAGTCCCTGAGATCGTCTTTTTAGCCTGTAAGTTGCAGAGCAGTCATCGAAAAAAACTTAAAGCTACCATCACATTGACGCCATTGTTGTCTACTTTAAACCTTAAGCTCCTGTTAGTGTCACTTAAAATGTCTCCAACGTCGGCCTCTGTAAATTCGCCTATAATTGGAGTGGTGCAGCTTTTCCAACCTACAACGATGAAATGAAATGCTTGAAGAAAACAACGAAAAATAAAGCAAAACAAACCTGGAATGATGGAGCTGGAAACCTGGAAGCACTAGCAATGGTGGCCGGAGATGACCGGGTGAAAATTGGGATTTTAGTATTATGATTTTTTTAATTTAAAAGAAATTTAGATTTTTTTTGTAATTTTATATAATTTAAAAAATTTAAAATTTAAAAAAAAATAAAGATGACACGAGTTAGATAACTGTCTTTTAAAATGATCGTTATGATCGAGACACTTAAAATGATAATATTTGTAACGTTAGACACCTATATTGACAAAAAAAATGTAAGACCTAAATGGGAAAAGGATTATAATTTATATGTTTTTTTTTGTATTAAGCCTTTTTAAAATTTAATTTTTAATGTTGACTCAAATAATACAAAAATAATATAATTAAATTACATGACTTAAATTTATCAAATCTGAGAACAGACATTAAATTATACAAATAATGTATAATATAAGACTAATGATAAAAAATAATTTTTAATAGGTTTCATAGTTATTGTTTAAATCATGAACGAAATTTTAAATTTTGAAAAGTATAGAGACTAAAAATGACCTAATTAAAGTACAAGGATTAAATCCATAGCTTAAACATAGTATAGTACTAACCATAGAATTTGGTGTTTTAGTTATAGTTTAGGGTCAAATTAGATATTAATCATTATTATTAATATACCACATTTTTAATTAAACTAAAATTAATAATTGAGTGATTATTTTATGATTTACTGATAACTTACTTAGGTAAAATAAAAAACTCATCCAAACTTTAATAACCATAAGTATAATATACCCTTTTGACTATTACTTATTAATACTAAATCTCTCAAACAACCATTGCACTCCCAGTGAAAAATTCAAGTTAGTACTTTAGAGATTATATTATTTGGAAGATGATACATATTTAAGAAGGTTACTTGGACAATAAGTTTGAGTATTATTTATTAGATAGAAATATCATATTAAATATTTTAAATGTGAAAATATTATAATAAACCATTCATCAAAATATATGAACCATATAAAATATTTTAGAAATATACATAAATATCATATTAAATATTTTATCAAAATATTAATACCAAATGAGACATTGTCTCGCAAACAAGTTATACAGGGACTTAACAATTAATACGAAACCAAGCAAGGATATGAGTCAAACACCATACATTTGTTTATTACCGTTTGATTTGTTTTGTGGAGTGTGTTTTGTTTTAAATATGTTGTCAACTTCTATAAATCAAATCCTCAGAAATCTTTGTCGCGACACATGTCGAACATGCATGGGATGATTTCATAACCACACACAATGAGACAATTCATGAAATATCCCATACCATTACCATCATCGCCGTCATCAAATATATTGTATTCGTATCATCTAAATCTTAACAAAAACAGTTACCACCGATTTGCTTCCAATTTTCTACCATAGTCATCGCTATCTATATAAGAATGCATTATTTTTAAGAGTAAATTATATAAATAGTCTCTTGAGTATAGAGTGTTGTTTTGTTGAGACTTTCGGTTATTAAAAGTAATTAAATGATCATTCGATTGTAAGAAATTGTTTTGTTGAGTCCTCAAACTATTAAAGTTATAAAATGGTCACCTGACTATTCATATATTCTAAACTTATCATTTTCTGTTATAAAATTGGCGGTTGTCTGAGCTGAATATTAATATGTTTACTGAGATATGATAAAATTTGATCCCAAAATTGTTTAAGATGAATTTTGTAGACCAATTCTCTGTTTATATCATGTCAACGAGTCAGTGCTTGAAAGCAACAGTGGTCCCGATAGACATAATTAAAATATGGTTTTTAATTTTTTATCATATCTCAGTTAGCAGATTAATGTTCAACTCAGACAACTATTAATGTTTCAATGAAAAATAATGAGTTTGAAACATATGAATAGTTGGGTGATCATTTTGTAACTTTAATAATCGAGAGACTCAACAAACCAACACCTTATAGTCAGAGATCATTTATGTATTTTACCCTGTTTTTTAAATACAAAATTTTGTGATTAATATATAACACATTTAATTGGTACGATAGGTAATTGATGGCTTTATCGAATATTGATTTAGATAAATATTTGAATTTGATTTATTATTTCAGATTGATTAATAATTATATATATATTTGTCGCAACCGTCTTTCGGTTGGACTTCTGGAATTGGGCTTCGACTTGAAAAATATGGATTGGAGTCGCCACCGATCATTTATTTAAAACAAATGGGTTGATCGGATACCCTAGTTCTTACCTGGTCTGCGTCTTACCAGAAATATGTCGGGTTCGGGAGTCGGTTACGGTCAAGGAAGGATTAGCACCCTTGAACCGCCCTTGCGGTACCAATTAATTTATCAGTTGTCTTTAATTACGAAAAAAAAATAAAAATTTAAATTCAAATTACCCGATTCGAAATACTTACCTTCGATTTAAAATTACTACTAAAAAAGTTCAAAAATATGTTAGATGGTAAAATAAAAGGATCATCGAATAAAAAATAATAAAAATAAATAAATTAATTAATCAATAAGTGAAAAAAAAATTAACTAAAAATTAATAGCGTGAAAATAAAATTAAAATATCTTAAGGATGAAATTTAAAGTAAAAAAAAACATTTCAATTAAAGATTAAAATATAAGAAAGCAATTAGATCGTCTCCGGTGCTAATGTAACAGTCTTCGATGCAAACATCATCGGAAGAATCTGAATATTCAAACATGTAAGTAAGAATGCTTATAATTGAAATTACAAACCAGATGCCAATGTTAGTATATTATACTCACCTGGATCTATCCCATCAGTGTTTGGTGAATCCAGAGGAGCCAGGATTGTGACATTCTGGACTATGACATGGCTGCAGTATACTGGGTGGATGGTCCAAAAATGGAGAGTTCAAGAAAGTCAAGTTCGAGATTACAATCCCCGTTGAGTTCATCAATTCGATCAGATCAGGGCGAGTATAGTTCAGAGTTTCACGTCTAAACCAGTTCCACCAAACACTGCCTTGTCCATCAATAGTTCCGTTCTCACCTCGGCCATAGGAAGGCAGAGGATCAACAACTGGCCAGTCATCAGAACTATTGGATCCAAGAATCACTGCATCCTTGTCTAACCACAAAGTTAGATGACTGATGAGATCGAAGCTTCCTGTCAACCACCGGCCGGCTGGGACAAAAAGCTTGGCCCCACCTTTGTCAGCAAATGAATTGAGGTAGAAGATGGCATTCTGAAATGTTTGCAATGTGAGCTGCTCTTGACAGTCCATGTAATATGACTGAAAATTGCAAGTACCAGTAGAACATCGACCAGCTTCAATCAAGGATAGAGTTTCCTTTCCCCGATAGACGAACGATGGCCGTTTTTGAAGGTAAAGCTTGTGGTCCT